AGGAACAGGAACAGCTTTTCAAACTTTTTACCCCACTTTACTGAAGTTAAAAAAACTGCCGCTTTACCGGGGCATGAAAAATACCGCCGGGGCGGAAGAAAAAAAAACGATCACTGTCCGTTCCCAACGCCCCCCGAGATAGAAAGAAAAACTGGAACTATTTCGGGAACGGCCTGGAATCGAGCAGAACCAGGGAACCCAGAGGGGAGGACCGATGCCCGGGCTGGGCGGAAAGAGCCACCGGACTACTGGGGAATCGGAGAGGCCCCCTTACCAGACGACAGGGAAGAGGATGGCCCCGCAGCACAGGAGGTCCACCAGGAAGAGGATCTCCTTCCACAGGCCGTACTCCGTGGTGCCCTCCTCCGTGGACTCGATGATGATGTACGCGACGTTGGCCAGGACCTGCGGCGCAGGGCGGGAGGGGGGGGGAAGATGAGCAAGCAGCCGGAAGCGGGAATGAGCTCCGGGCGCGGAGCACGAGGCCCAGCTGCGACAGATCCTGCTGCTCCACACTTGCCTATCTGGGCTGTTTATTTTTTTGCAGGACTCCGTAAGTCCGCTGGATGAGACACTATCGTCGGCTTCCGTTCTGTTTATTGCTTAGGGAACGGCCAGCATGGTCTTCTTTAGACGGTATATTTAAAAACACGTTGCTCCCTGAGGTCATCATTTACCGCCAGGCGTCTCAAGCCTCGGTTGTTTGACGACGACTCCCAAACCCCGCTTGGGAAAAAACGAGGCACCAATGCGCTCCTCAGACACCCCCCCCCCTCCACATCAGAGCCAATCATCATGTGACACAGCGTGAGTTCCATCACCGATCAGAGGAGAGTCGCTCTCCGATATCGCCCCCAGCAACCCGCAGGGATCTGGGGGCGATATCGGAGAGCCACTCTCCGACCGATCCAACACCTGGCAGAGCTCTGCCGATCATGCGCTGCCACCTGGGAATGTAACAGCGCGAGCCAGGTGCAAAACAGCCACACCTGGATCACGCAGCTCAACCAGGGCTCCTGAAAATCGTCTGGTTGTGCATCTCAGAAAACTGACACCCCCTGTGTTCGAGTTCCTACTGTCTCCTTCCTAGTTTTCCAGGCCCCAAATCAGCACTATCACTTGGGACTGGAGCTGCAATTTCTCAACCAGCTGCCACCGAGTTTTTTGGCACGAACTCAGCTCCGTCTTGACTATCCGTGCAGTGAGGAAGTACAGATGCCAGCTTGCTGGGAGGCTGAAAGGGAGACCCTGGAATTAGCACGGAATCTGGTCCCTACCTGCAGCGGGATGACGATCATGAAGATGTTCTTGTCCTTGTCCGAAAGGATGTGCTTGATGAAGGCCCAGCCCGTCCCAATCAGGGCTATGGTGATGAAGAGGAGTGCCCCCTTCAGCCTGCACAAAGAAATCGCACAGTGTTTAACCTACCCCACGCCTTCGCCCAACTGGAGTAAATCAAAAAGAAAAGGATTCTCTTCCAATGCATCTGAAAAAAGGCTGACGGGCTCGTTTTTAAAATCTCCTCTTGTCCCCTGCAACTCAAACTAATAAAAGTCTGAAGTCTGAAAATAGGCTCTACCTTCATGTTAACTTTATCAGGAGTGCCTTCCAACCCAAGCACAAAATCAGATTTTGCATGTCTGAAATTATAACTCGTAACATTGAAGAAAACACCTACAGGTGAGTGATGTAATAGACCACAGCCCATCCTTCAATGGGGAATCCTTGATTGGAAATATAGTAGTAATCAATCTGAAACAGGGAGAAAAAAAAAACAGTGGAAGGTTAAAATGCCCCCCCCAAAAAAAATCGCTAGGTACCACAGAAAGCACAGTCAGGCCATTATACGGGTGCAACGACAGCAGGTGCATCACTCAGAGATGTTAGCTACACACGGCACGGTACACCACTGCTCGCGATACCAATCTGTGCGTCCAAATGCCAAATCGGACCCACTGGAGCAAAGCACACGGCAATCGAAGCAGGCGGTGCAATTCCAGTTTTTGCCACCGGGGGCTGATCTGGTTTAAGGCTGAGGCGGCCGGTACTCACAGCGTGGAACACTAAGGAGAGGGACTTGGTGAAGGGCAGGGCGGCCATCAGCCAGTGGATCTTAAAGACGTCACTCCTGCGAGGAAGCAGAGGGGGTGAGGGAACAGCGGGCACAGGCGAGGACGGCACTGCCCATCGGCCCCAGCAGAAGCGGCGGGACACGCGTCCGAAAGACTGTGCACGGAACTGGGAAAAAGGTCAGCGCTGGTCGGTTTTAACCATGGCCGCAGGTACGAGGGTAAGCCAGTTACGAGCAGGCACATAACTCTTCAGTCGCTGCAGTCATGGGTGGACACGGACACAGCCTTCGGCAGGTGGAGGAGGAGGCAGGAGAACACAGCTTCTCTCCCCTAGTGAAGCTGACCCCTGCGATTTCACATCCTTAAGGTCTCCCTACATCAGATATAGGATAAGGATGCCGCAACGAGGTCCTACTGCTTTCGCAAAGACTCTGCTCTGCATTCACTTTGTTCTTTGTGCACCTTCAGCCAGCTTTATAAGAGTTTTTGCAGTCAGGGTACCTGGTGACCCTCCGGGTGGAATTTTAATATCCAGATGTACAGAGAATAACACTGCCCCCACCCCCCAACAAACGGTCTCATAGACCTGAACCTCATAATTCAAGAGCTCTTGTCAAACTTGAGGGAGTGCATCAAGATACATGAAATCTAAGATGTCTATTACTCTGACCTTGTTTGCTATCCTAGTGCAATATCACTGAGAGCTCAGAATGCATTTATTCATTTCATTACGGTTACTTGTAGGACTGCTTACAATCATTAACTGCACAACCCTGTTTAACAGCTATTAGATTACGTTTAAGAAAACAGCATGCACTGAAGCCAGGCAGTTCTGGTGTCCTGGTATATCGGGAAAGCAGAGTACTGCATTCAGAACATGATAGTGAGGTGTGTGCATGCAGGCATATTCGCTTGTATCTACTGCCCTCTATTGGTGTCTAGGCTTCACTGCACATGTATCCATCAAAGTGGTTTTCCCTGGACACCGGAGTTGTCCCCCTCCTGCCCGCTCACCTGTGCTTGCACAGGACGTGCACCCACAGCGCGCCAATCAGGAGGAAGAGGAGGGACATGAAGATGTAGAGCTTGGGCAGAGGGATCTCTCCTGCCGACAGGAAACTGCTGGGGTTCTTCTCTTCAATGTTGATCTGTAGGAAAAAACGTTAGCCAAGCAGACATTCAAGGCACAGTCTTGAGCTCTGCGAGTCAAAGGGAACAGTTTCCTGATGCACCTGATTTAATTGCTTTTATTATATAATCTCAAAGTGACAGCCCAGCATGATTACTGGGAAAAAAAAAACACCATAAATGATTTTCAATCACACATAGAGGTTCTAATGAAGATTTAAAGATAATAGATTTAAAAGAGATTTTTAAGATTTACAAATCTAAATTAATTTAAAAATATCACCAGAAAAACATTTTGTAAGTCAGGCCACAAATTCAGCTCAGACTGGCCAGAGTAAAGATAATCTCATACCGGCCAGATTAGCAGGACTAAAAGCTACAGTGAGGTGAGAGTTACAACCCATCTCAGACTCCATACATGCATCTCACCTCGATGCTGAACTTCAGCTGACCTCTGGTCTTGGTCTCGATGCTGTAGCAGTTGTGGAAATACAGGCTGTACAGCCCCTGCTGGCCGTCTGTGCTGACGTTGAAGTAAAACTGCAGAGGGAGGAAGCCCACCATGACGTACAGCTCGTCCCGAAACCACAACCGCACGCGGCTCTACTAAAACCCGCAAGACGCCACAGTTACCTGGAAGGAATAGGCTCCATCTTTGAAAAGAAGGGGGAGGTACACATCCGATTTATTCCCCTGTAGAAAAAAAGAACCGTTTATAACCACAAAGACTGCAACTAATAAGACCAGAAGAACAGATTTAGAAGAAAGAAGAAGACCTCATTTTTACAGTTTTCTATAAGACTGTGAACATGCTTGTTAAAATTAGGGTATCTCAATTTTCTGTGGCTGTTAGGACTGCATTGATCACACTCATTGCAATGGAAATAAATTTGTAACTTGTAACCATCTTCTACCCTCCCGCCCACGGCATTCCGACACTTCCTGGCCCCTGTAATTCTCTTAGGTTCTGTGCAAGACTGAAAAGATCAGCAAAAGGCTGCAGTTTTTGACAACTGGAAACCAATCTGCAGGTGCTGCACCGTTTTATACAATGAATTCTGCCCCTGGCCCAGACGCAGTGACACCCGTCGCTGACAGAGGAGACGGTCAAAACGATTTGGTTT